TGTCCTTGAACATTCGACCACAGACTAGAAAGGGTTTGGAAGCGAACAGAAGCCTCCCGTGTTCTTCACATCACACCCCGTGTCCAACGTATAATCAGCCTGCAGTTTGGAGGGTGGTAACACTGACGATGATGAAACAGTTTCGAAGGAAACTTCCCTGCGGGTTGCTTTCTCACGAACATGTTGATAGCATGTTTCTGCATATCGGCCACAGTTGTGCTCGCAGGAGGACTGTCAGCTGCATTCATTTATTAAAATTCAAAAGACAGAACATTATTTATAACACTTTCCGTGTTTAAGAGAAGAAATATGGACGTTACTGGACAACACTTATCACGAGTTCCTTCAGCGACGAACTTCCTCTGCGTCAGGTGACGAAGTTTGTGACTGAAGCCAGGACGATGTCTCCCTTCGCCAGTCACCGACGCCTCACTGATCTCGCGAGCTCATACGGTCTTCTACCGACGCTGCCACGTCATTACAGCGCATGAGTCGACCTGACGTCAAGACCTGAAACAGACCCCCACAATGTAAACGACCTAAAGGCAAAATAAGTATAATCCTGGCCAAAGGAAAATCTCTGAACAAGATAAATATTAAAATGTTACCAAGAACTTAGTCTGCAGCGTCTAATTCTGATAGAAAGAGACTGGGTCACCCTCGGTTGGACACAATAACCACATGTTTTAGTCGCCCAGATATTGATCTGTTCCATTTTTAGTCGTACAAAGTCTGTTGGTAAGAAGTGCATCTGGACCCAACAGAGTTGTACCAACAGACGAGGAATATTCCACCTTGTTTACCTCCACTCGAGTGAACAGAACAAAGTTATTAATACTACGATAACATTCATGCAAATGTGCTAAGTCCCACTGGAAGTCTTCATTAAAATTAATCATCTGTGAGAATAATATTAAAATAGTAATTATGAGGTAGGTTAAGGGGGTGTGAAATGGACTTTCGGGGCCCAGAGTTGTATAAAAAGTCGAGCTTACGTTTGATAGCAACAAATCTTGACATTCGACAACACGGTATTAATCGAAAATATGACGCTGGAAAGCTGCTTGTTGCATTTCATGCACGTCATATGGACGACGAATACCGCGTTAAAAGCACGAATGTCTATTCAGAACCGTCATTAATCTGTGCTAGGAAAACACGTAAGGACGGAATGCCAGTTGAATCGATTACATCTGACACCGTTTCTACTGGTCAGATCGTGACGTCAGAATTCGCTTTGGCTTAGGAAGGAAAACACGACAGTTTGAGTCAGAAGAGCCGGGAATCAAAAGAGAATTCTGCTAGAATACGACCACGGAGTTTTACCAATCGATAGGCCTGTTCTATGCTAAGAGGCCCGTTAAAAAATATACGTTTAGTTATCGGTATCATAACGAAAAATAAAAAATAATAATTGGCATTAAAAATATAACATTTTGTAAATGAGTGATAAGCTAATAATTACGAAGATAGTTCCAGTGAGTATGTCTCAGACCATTTTGTGTTCTAGAGATACTTGGGATCGCTTCCCAATGTGAATTCAGCTTCTGCGATGTATCGATATTTTCGATCAGTTTTTTCCCCCCCAGTAAAATACATTTATTGTTCCTCACAATACGTCAGCTATATCCCCCCTCCACCCCATAACACGAAAACAAAATTTTAATTGTAAAATCTGAAGATAGAAAAAAAAACCTTCAGGCGTGGGATAATACTAAAAGAGACTGGAAATCTTTATTCCGTGGACAAAAGCGTTCGTACATTCTGTATCATTGATAAAAGATTACGTCAGTCATCTTCATTTCAGGCAACATTAGTTCTAAATCTTATGACTTCTTCAAGAAATTTAAGATGCGTTAGTTCTGTGGTGGCGTAGTAGTCATAAGATTGACTCCTGGTGAGGTTGAAATTTTTTTCAAGCTGCCATCATATTGTTATTCTACATTACACAAAAAATTATATACGACAGTCACTTTTTTTATTTATAACCATACATTAGTGTACGGCCCTGTCGCAAGTGGCGCTGGTGTTGATCCCACCTGACGAGTCTGTTCATCCGACATGTTGGTATTACCGACTGTGTGAAATTCAAAAGTACGAATTACAACAGGAAAGATTGCTTTGCTTTAATTTTATGAACATCTTGTAAATAATGCAGAAATAGAAAAATGAGTATCTTAAAGAAATTTGGTGTGTGGGAGTGGACTGGATTAATCTGGCTTAAGATACGAACCAATGGCAGGGTCTTGTGAACACGGTAATGTCTGGGTGCAATGAACAGTGGTAACTCCGTCAATAGTCGAGCGATCATCAGTTTGTCACCGTCTTAGAGGAAGGTGAAGTAGATAGACCAAGAAAAAGATAGTCAGATGAAATTGTGTGCCAGGAGCAGATGAAATTTATTTCTGGTCTCATGTTTGTGTCGAAATAACACAGGGATCGTTCAAAACAAGATTTGTGATACAAAATTAATTTAACTTGATTATATACCTTCCCCGGTTTCTCCGTGGCATCCCAACAATTACTCCATTCACACACAGAAGAAGGCAATGGCAAACCACTTCTGGATCATCTGCCAAGAACGTATATGAACAGGTCCCAGTCCGAGAAAAGGATGGAAGGATCCTGTTCATATGGACCTGTCGTCAGACAGAACACTAAATAAAATAAATAAATAGTTTCATCAGAATCGTAATAATTTTTGTGACAGTTGCAACTGACAGCAAATACTAAAATTTGTATAAATTCATACACTTCTAATGTCACTCTTCTGGACTTGCCATATAAACAGGACTTCAAGGTAAGACGGCTCTTTAAGTTCTGTCGTAATGCACGAAGCTTTCAAGGTCAACCATTTGTTAGGCACCTCACGACTTTGGGCATTAATAACCACGTTCTATAGGCGTCAATGAATATCACAGCTAAACTCTGCAGAGACAATTCGATAGCTTGTAGTCATTAACAGTTCATCATGCCTTTGTCCTTCAGCGTTCACGCACCATTCTGTCTGCACTTAGCCTCCAGCAGCGACTTGAAATTGACACGTCCTTGGTACTGGCCGAATATAACAAGATACTGACCTTGAAGACGTCCAAGATGGCACTGAAGGAGACTAAGACCATTATTACCGTCAGTTGGTGGCACGTGTTCTGATCCACTTAAACGAATTAAACGCAAATGTAACTGAACATGTACATCGTCTAAGAGATATCAAACGCGAGACGTTCTTTTTTTTTTAACACAGTAGCCCCTGACTTGAAACATTTCTTTTCCAGGACAACCTAGTTCAGGTGTGACAGCTGCGAGAGGAAGCGAGCAGTAGCAATAAGAAAGACTTGCTCTGATTGGTTTACCTCCCACCAGATGACAGTCCTTGCTACTGCGCAATCGCGTCATCTTATGTGAAGCCTGTTACAACCATTACTATACTGCATTCCAGGTAAGACGGAAGGAGGATTAAATAAGTCGTTCTGTCCCTGATTCTCGACCTTGCCCTCTCGTACAGTGTCATTTCATAGTTACTGTTCTCGCTTTTTAAACAATGAAATAGGAATTATATTTTTCTGTCCTGCAATGACGATTTTGAGCGCCATATTGGTGAGTATTCATTACATGTAACAGTAGATGCTACGTAAGTTCATTGTTGAACATACGACTTTTTTGTTGGTGCATATTTGTTATAACAACGCTGTATCGAGCCAGTTCTAGAACTAATAATCAGAAATGAATTCTTTCATTTGCTATGTGACGTATCAAAATAGGTTAGTTCCTGAGTGCTTATAAAAATTGTCTGTTTTTTTTTTCTCGGAGTGTGACAGGCAGAAAGAGTTTCAATGATAATGAATGTATCAGTATGATAGAAGCATACGTTTTCAGTACCGACAATAACATTTATGCTACGTGTTTCAAAAGTAATCAGAAGAGGCCAAATTTTCGTTTGATTTCCTAACCTCATAGCGTATACATCCTCGTTAATTATCAAGCGGTTTCAAAGCCTGTCCAAAGCTTGAGGCAGAGGTTGCGGGCTACTTTTATTTAGGGATAGGAATGGGCTCGTGTGTGTATTTGTTGTCTGCGTTCGGAAAACATTATGCTAACGCAACATATGATTTTATTACTTTGTTTTGAATCCTGGGGGTTATATTAAAAACACTTATATAAGATAACTGAAATGATTCGAATACACTGAACGAGAATATAACTAGGTTATCGCATTTTAGTTTATATTTCAAGCGAGTGAGTACAACAAACCACAACTCCCAAAGTTTCTCAGCGTCAAGTTTGCTATTCTGACGTATTATTGCGTGCAGGGAAACATTTTTCAAGGTTAAAGTTCCAAGAACTCGGCGCGAAGTGAAGTGATTTGAAACGGCAATGTAAACAAACAGTGAAACACGTAAACTTCCTCTAACAACACCAACTTTTTACACGCGTGATTCATGTTCGCCTCGCTTTTTTTTTATCTTTGTATCAACTGTCGACGGTTGTGCCATGATATATACTAGCTGTTTTTTTTTTATAAATGTAAATTTCCATGCTCGAACCCAGAGCGTCAACTCCCAACTTTCCCTTATTCAGCGTACAGCAGCTGTTGCCTTATTTACAGATAATCCAGTGAAATCCGTGTATAAGCCACGCTGACATTTGAAACTTTACAGGTTGCACTATGCTCGCAAGCTATATTCAATCTGTCGGAGGGAAATTAAAACGATCAGACCAGAGTTGGATTAAAATTGACGTAATCAGAGCGCTATTGTACTTTATGGTGTTCATTCGTTAGGGGTAGAACATCGAATCCATAATAAGTGTAATCTACATACAGGTTTAGACATAAAATTATATAAAGCATTGAATGATTTGAGAAATTTACGGGATTTAAATTATGTGGTGAAAAGATTACAGCGTTTCGTAACTAAATATCGAAACCAGATGACTCAAGATCGAAGTTTACGTTATTTTATACGATACTAAGAATGTTAGCAGACAAACAGGCCTTATCCATCATTGCAGTCCACAGAACAGAGAATATTATGCGGGTATCAACATTTCAATAATTTAGAATTAAGTCCCACGAGTCTTAGAAATAAAAAGGCAAAATTTAAAGTAGTGTTTAAAAGATAATTACACACTCCTTTTACTATGTTGATGAGTCTCTGGTGTTCACAAATAAATCATAAAGTTCATTAGGGTTTTCATGAACTTATATAGCCGTCCTGCTACACGCCATGGAGGTCGTTTAGAGGGGAAGACGGTATAGCTCCTACTCATTCGTAACCTTGGCACTAGATGAGAGGTGAGTAGTTAGCATCACGCCCTGGTCACTCTTTAACTCCAGGAAAGGACTCAGGTATCCATTGGATAGGAGGCTGGGTGTGCCCCAGAAACGGTTTGGACGCAGAGGCTAGAGGAAAAATCTTGTGCCCCCGTCGGGATCGAACTCCAGTCCAGCCCGTAGCTAGTCACTATACTGACTCAGCTATCTCGGCTCTTAATACAGGGTGATTCAAAAAGGACTTTACAACTTTGAAAGTGTATAGAAATTTATTTAGAAGGCTTACAGAATCGGTTGAGGTGTCATTTTGTAGCAAAACAAATCAAGTGTTACCTCAAATAGTCATTTTGGTTCGATGTGATTGCCATTGGTGATACTTCATACATCCCACCTGAAATCAATTTTTTGCCAAACACGATCCAGCATATCAGGTGTCACTTCTGCAACTGCGGCGGTGATTCGAGCTTTGAGCTCAGTGAGATTGGCAGGTAAGGGTGGAACATACACACGATCTTTAATGAAACCCCATAAGAAAAACTCGAGAGGTGTAAAATCTGGAGAACGAGGTGGCCATGCTATCGACCCTGTTCGACCAATCCCCCGACCTGGGAAACGGTTATTGAGGAAATCCCGGACTTCTGTGAGGTAGTGAGGTGGTGCGCCGTCTTGCTGGAAGTGAATGCGTCCTTCTTGGTCATCTTCGTCTAACTGTGGTATGAGAAAATTTTCGAGCCATGCACTGCCGCCTGCGCTCGCGGTGACGGAATCCGGTACTACAGCACAACGTGAGTCAAACTTGATTTGTTTTGCTACAAAATGACACCCCAACCGATTCTGTAAGCCTTCTGAATAAATTTCTATACACTTTCAAAGTTGTAAAGTCCTTTCTGAATCACCCGCTATAAATGGGCAGTATAATTTATCTACTGTTATGTAAGGGGTAGATGTTTTTTGTAATGTCATTATTTTATAGGAAACTTTTTTAATGTCACATTTCCCCGCAAATTAAAAAAAAGCAATGTCATGGACTAAAAATAAAAATAGGCAAACAAACAACTATTAACACTATAAAAATATTATCATACGCAATAATGTCTTTTTTATAGTGTTAATAGTTGTTTGTTTGCGTATTTTTATTCTAATACACTACACGGTATGCAAACTTTTAAGATTAATGTCATTTACGACGTAAGCGCTGTTTTCTGTGTGTGATGCAAGTAACTTCGCATTTGTACGAGGTAGCCTGTACATTTAGGTATAGTGCCGATACGTTTATTAACCAGGAGAAGTGGTCGTTTGGTCACCACATCACAAATTGCGTGGTTGGCCTTTGCAGCTGTTAACTGAAGAATGTAATTAATTTGTGTCTGAATTTTGTATTTAACCAAGTACAGTAGCATTCAAATAAAATAGCAGAAATCTCATTGTCTTGTTTGTAGTATTTCAGTTTCTCTGTTCGTACATATCCAGATCTCAATTAACTGTTTTTGAGACTTCTATTCTGAGCCGATTTGTTTAAGTGTGAAACAAAGACGACAGAGAGCTCTTGAAGAGCTTCGTTATGATTCGGAATTAGTCGGCCTCCTGAGAACAAAAAGGGGTGAAGACCGATTGTTGGAATTTCCGGGACGCTAAAGTACCTCTGTGTTGCATAACCATGCAGGGGGACTTGGCTACTTTTCCCTTGGCCAGTCAGCTTATTTGTTTTAAACAAAATGAAAATTATATGTCATTTGAATCAGGTTTCAGGGAGTAGACAAGGTGAACAACATATTGAAGTAAAAAAGTGATAGTGGAACCACGGTTCCAGAGAATTAGACGTAAATACGTCTATACGGAAAGGAAGTTTATATATTGGCTTCACTGGACACAACCAAAAAGCTAACTGAGGGCGGAGGCCTGCGCAAGCGCAAGCATCGTCCCTACCTCTCTCCAGGCTGTGCCGGTGGGGGTCTCGTCCGTTGTCGCCGCATCCACTCACTCCCACTCTGTAAGGTAAGGTAATGTAATGAAATGTTTTATAGGTAACAACAATGCCGAGTAATGTAACGTTTCCTAGGTAACAACAATGCCGAGTAAACAATTGACGTTTCCAAGGTAACATAACAATGCAGTTCCACTTTTTGCCGAATGACACTGACCCTAAAATATAGACGTACTTACGTCAAAAATTGTTAGTGCAGTGAACGTATTAATAACACTGACGACCCGTAAACATATGTAAATCATGCTTATAGCAGCCTTATCCTTACACGAAGTTTTAACCTAAGTCAAAATGTAATTATAATTTTACAATAGCTAATCAATATCAGAATCTCGTCTTCGTGGAAGTTACAGAGTTGTCCTACTGAAAGGGACACCAAATGAAGAAGCTTTAATAAGCCAGATAATTAATTATATTTCCTTAGAACTTACGGAAGGCTTATCTGTCCCTGTCATCAAAGTACTGTCATTGGTGGAAGCTTCGGGCACTTCTGAAACAAATGTACGAAGAAAAAATGTAACGTTTGCTGGCACAAAAGAGTGACTATGTAGACGCAGACGTCCTAGAAATCTTTGAATAATTGCGTAGATTATTAAGGCATACGAAGGTCTTCGTGTTTCTGTCGGTCTACTTCCAATTATCACCTCAGAAGCTATAAAGCAGACTTCAGTTGACAGTGACGTTACACAGAACAACGACCCCTTACATTATATGAAGCTTTCATTGACCTTTGTTACAGGCATCAACACGCACAATTTGCGTTTAATGATTTCCACATTATGTAAGATTTGAGGCTTTCACAGCGGTGAGTATGAAGATTTCTGTCTTCTGGGTTATTGCGCTGTGTAGTCTGGTCGATGTTTACCAACGTTTCAGAGGTCATACTGCCTCCATCATCAGGGCGATGAGTATGAAGATTTCTGTCTTCTGGGTTATTGCGCTGTGTAGTCTGGTCGATGTTTACCAACGTTTCAGAGGTCATACTGCCTCCATCATCAGGGCGATGAGTATGAAGATTTCTGTCTTCTGGGTTATTGCGCTGTGTAGTCTGGTCGATGTTTACCAACGTTTCAGAGGTCATACTGCCTCCATCATCAGGGCGATGAGTATGAAGATTTCTGTCTTCTGGGTTATTGCGCTGTGTAGTCTGGTCGATGTTTACCAACGTTTCAGAGGTCATACTGCCTCCATCATCAGGGCGATGAGTATGAAGATTTCTGTCTTCTGGGTTATTGCGCTGTGTAGTCTGGTCGATGTTTACCAACGTTTCAGAGGTCATACTGCCTCCATCATCAGGGCGATGAGTATGAAGATTTCTGTCTTCTGGGTTATTGCGCTGTGTAGTCTGGTCGATGTTTACCAACGTTTCAGAGGTCATACTGCCTCCATCATCAGGGCGATGAGTATGAAGATTTCTGTCTTCTGGGTTATTGCGCTGTGTAGTCTGGTCGATGTTTACCAACGTTTCAGAGGTCATACTGCCTCCATCATCAGGGCGATGAGTATGAAGATTTCTGTCTTCTGGCTTGTTGCGCTGTGTAGTCTGGTCGATGTTAACCAACGTTTCAGAGTTCATACTGCCTCCATCATCACGAGATATGAAGGGTGGATTACGCACGCGTAGTTTCAGGGACGATAAGAACTAGAGTCACAGGAGTGGAATCAATAAAATGTGAGTGTACCATCACACAAATTGCCCTGACTACAAAGCAAGTTAAACTCTTCACAGGAAACGTATTTATAAGTGCCGCGTGTTTCGAGAAGAATCAGCGAAAGGCAGTGTTCATTTGCATTAGCCAGAATATTCAGTGTCGGCTGTGAGTTCAATCCCCGTTTGCTATGTTTCTTTGTACGTAAATTACAATTTCCATGTTCAATTCCGTCCTTCATTAGAGTCCTAATGCAATGCGTGACCCGGGAACTGTGGTACAGTCAGTGTAGAAGTGTTATTAAGAGAAGTTCCTGTCCTTTCGCTGAACCTAACCTAAAAGGAAGGGTTGCCCTTAGTCAAACGCCTACTAACGTGTGTTTTCAACGACCCTACGACGATCCTCAGTCGGAGGCGTCTATCTACACGTCTTGATTTCAGGGGACCAATTTTAAAGAGAAGTTAGACAATAAGCATGACGCTGGAAACTAAGAATAGTTTGGAAAAGGAGTGAACATTTCGAGCTCAAATCAGTACGTGGGTGAATCGAAATGTAAATGCGGGTTTTGATGAAATTTGATATCTGTGAGAGTCGTTTAGTCGCTTTAATTCAGTGCAGACGTCAGTATAATTGATGTCGCCTTTGTGTTAAAACTTAATTTATTTATTCAGTGTTCTGTCTGACGACAGGTCCATGTGAACAGGATCCTTCCATCCTTTTCTCGGACTGGGACCTGTTCATATACGTTCTTGGCAGATGATCCAGAAGTGGTTTGCCATTGCCTTCTTCTGTGTGTGAATGGAGTAAGTGTTGGGATGCCACGGAGAAAC